GTCAGTTCACTGAATTGACCAATGACGAAGCGGATCAAGAAGATCAAATGGACTAAGCGGATCAAGTAAGGTGCGAGCCTATACGAACTCAACTCTGGACGTAGCCGATCATCAAATTAAAAAAGCGATCGATATATCGAATGAAGGATATCACTGTCAGCTGTCAGTAAAGAGCAATCGATATATCGATTTATACAATGCGAGTGCTCTCTTCCCGCGGATTGGAACGGTAATCGTAAATTGCATAGATGCCAAGTGGAACAGATGATCTAACACACTTTTTATGAATTTTGTGTAACCAACCGATTTTGTGTAACTAACTCAAACAGAATTTTTTTCCAATAAATTCATATACATCGAAACCCGAGCAAAAAGATCAATACAACGCAATTGCGATGTCAAAGTCTCTTCATCTATTCGTCATCAGAATCCACCGGTTCCTCTTTTTTAACATAACCTGGCCTTGCCTGACGACGTTCTTCAAGCGCCAAGTTCAACGCAGCCCAGTCTTCTGTTCTTGCCTAGATATGCAAGAATTTGGTAAAAAATTGCTGTAAATGTAAATCTGGAAATTACCTGGATGGAAGCGTGTTCCTCTTGTGTCAAAGGTTTCGCTCCGCGGTTTACGACATCAATGATATCATTAAGCCTAGAAGAATGAAGCGACTGAGTATAACAGCTACATCTTGAAGCAACTTACCTAATTGTGAGCTTCTCTATAGTATGTAAAGCATCTCCATGCATTCCTTTCCAGTCATCTTCTACTCCCATAAGTTTCTGGAGGAATTCGGCAAGAACATCAGGCGATTTGTCTGCAATTCGACATATCACTAAGTCAGGAGAAACTCATCAGGTAATAGCTTACCCAAAGCATCCAAACCATATTTCAATGCTGCTAAAGCTATTTGCGAAGGTGGATACATCAGCATAACGTCAGACAGCAAGGCTTTCTCAAACTATGAGGTAAAACTTGCTTCTAACGATGATAGATTTGAAAGCTGACCCTGAAGAACTGATCTGCAGGTTCTCGAATCGTTTCCACATTGAAGTTCAACAATAACATTCGCGTTTTCATTTCGACGAGGTGTCCTTCAAATGGCCTGAAAAAAAAACTGTGATACAAGAAATCCAAGTACTGTGGTTTTCGAACCTGAAGGGACAATGGATAGTGATCTGATATCGCAACGCTCGCATGATTTCTGGTTCCAAACCTAGTATACGCGTTGTATTTTGCTCTGGGCTTCCAGTTCTGAAATAAGATTATGACAAAAAGCAGAGAAAAGAATTATAATGGTTACCTTAGATTAGAGACAAATTCGTCAATCGTTACATAGAATTCTTCGACCTTCATAGCTAAGTAGAAACATGCCATCATCACAATCTGCAATTTTAGCATCATGAATCATTATAGTCAAGATGCGCGCGCGAGAATGCCTTTTCTGGGCCGTAGTGATAGCGCTAGGGCTGCACTCAGAGTTGTTGTTCATGCTGGCGCCGTGCTAGTACTGTGCCACATCGATCGATCGATACGCGCGTCTACAAGGGCGTTGGCACGGCGCTGGCCCTCGCAAATTTGAACGAAGCCTGAGTATGAGTCGACAATTTTACCTTTGGACTAGCTTCCATGACCGACCAATTCAGAAAAAGCCGCTTGAAATATGCATAAGCAGTCCATCGTACAGAGGGCCACATATTCGGCCGAAAACCATCAGAAAAACTGTAAGAGGTCAGATTCTTCAATACTCTTCATCAAGGGCAGAATCTGTTGACTGACCGTATTGCTGCGGCTTCTACCACTCCTATCATTTGTGCCTCTTCTTCTACGGTAAGAAATATGGACTCTTCACCGGGTTGAATGAGTTCAGCTTGCTTATTTCGAAAGTTCTCATTAGCCTGCAATGCTACAACAAGTAAGTTCGTGAAGTTAGAAAGGGGTAGAATCAACAGATCCGCGCGATTTACAAAGATATAGGGGAGAATGAAAAGAACCACTCGCCTTTTATCATCGAAAAG